CTTATGGCTGCGGGCGGCCTGAAGAAGGGGGAGTCCAAACAGCAGTGTTTTGGAGAAGGCAGGCAGGAAGACAATATAGAGTTGAGATAATGCATCGGAAGGAAAATTCCAGATTTTTTGGCTTCTGGAAGTGTGGCATCTCTGACAAACCCAGCACAGCAGTTGACTGGAACCCAGGCATGATTGTACATCTTTTGGTAGGATGTGTGCTGCCTCCCAAGCACAAAGCCTGGCTGCTTCCCCCCTGCAACCAATTTGTGTGGCCCTGCAGGCATCTGAATGCAGGGTCCTTGCACTGCTAGGGTGTAAGCTCTCAGAAAACCGAATGTGGGAACAGGAAGGAAGAGCCCCAAGGGTCTCTGTTCCAGTCCACAGACTAACTTGTGTTGGTTCTTAGAGTACCCCAGCCTTCTGCTATCCAAACACAGGCTCTTCTTTAAATTTCAGTATTCCTAGCTCTCATGAGTCACAAATATAGAATGATCACTCTGAAATCTCCGGAGATTAGTTCCTGGACCTCCAAAGACCCCATCAGATCCTTATATAAAATGGCACCGTATATGCACACATCCTCATGTAAACCTGAAGTCATGTCTAGACGACTCATAATGCCTGCTGCAATGTAAATTCTGTGTACATTGTTGTTAGACTATATTATTTAGGAAAGAATGGCACTGTAAAGAAAGTCTGCACATGCTCAGTACTCTGTGTGTGCAGTACTGCACATACTCGGTACAGGTGCAAATTTTTTTCACACCTTTTCTGAGATGGGTTGAATCTGGGCATACTAAACCTGTACTAGAAACATCTTCAAAGGCAGCACCTGCAGCCCAAATCTAAGGCTCAAAATAGGGTGAATCCAACACCACCATAGTATGAGGTGGGGCCAGCTGAGGCTGTCTTCTTGTTCTTAGGGTAAACACATTAATTAGAGAACTAATACACTGTCAGTCTTTGGTCTTTTTATTCCTCCCTGCCAGGGCCCAGCCTGATTCAATGCACTCTCCCTTTTATAAATGCTTACAGTCAATATACACCAAGTACATGTATAAAATTATCACATTGATCCCCATTAATAACTGTTGTTAATAACTAATGTGAGGGGCCTGGGGAAATGGCTCAGTTTGTAAAGTGTCTGCTGCACAAGCATGGGGACCTGAATCTGAATCCTGTCCTCTTCAAGAGAGCGATAGATCCATATCTGGAAGAGTAGATAGTCCATAGGAATGAGGGAAGCAGTTGCAATAGCACTGGGCCACAGAACCCCAGCCCACCATACAGCTTAGCTCCCTCCGGAAGCACTAATGAGTTAAAGGGTCAGCTTGGTAATTCCTAAGACTAAGCCTCTGTAATGTCCTGTAGAATGAAAGGAACGCAGAAAAGAAAAACAAGCAGAAAGAAAAAGAAAATGAAAAGCCTGATGTGATTTCATTGAGAAATTACTTTGAAAGTGTCCTTTCGGGGGCTGGAGAAATGATGGCTCAGCAGTTAAGAGCACTGGCTATTCTTGCAGGGGACCCAGATTTGATTCCCAGCACCCACATGGTGGCTAACAGCTCTCCATAACTCCAGTTCCAAGGGATACGGTGCCCTCTTCTAACTTCCTCAGGCACTGCATGACACGGATGCACCTACCCATGCAGACAAAACACTCATACATATAAAAATATAAATAATAATGCCGGGCGTCGTGGCACACATCTTTAATCCCATCAGAGGCAGGTGGATCTCTGTGAGTTCAAGGCCAGCCTGGTCCACATAGTGAGTTCCAGGACAGCTGGGGCTACAGGGAGACCCTGTCTCAAAAAGACCAAAAGCCCTTGCATACATGTGACATACACATATAGAGATGCACACACACATACACATGCTAATAAATAAAATATTTTTTAAAAAATGTCCTTTGGTGATTTCTTTAATGCCCAGGAGGCCATCTTGGCCAGCCCTTGGTGTGTCTGTTAGGCTGAGCATTGGTGGTTCTAAACGGTAGAACAAGGAGACAGAGGGAACACTTTCTGTGTGCTCATATCAAACAAGAAGAAAGAGACCAGCACTTTCCTCTAGGAAGGAAAACACTGGCAGGACAGTGGTCCTAGTGAAGGTAGGCTAATGGAGGCTTCCAGGCCCAGTCTTTCAGCGTCACCACATAAATCACTAGATGCCCTGGACAATCTGATCAGATGCAGTGTCATCAGAGGACCCATGTGAGTTAGATTGTCCCCGCAGGAAGGCTGGGACGGAGGAGGCTGCATTTTATTGGCTTTTTTCCTCCCGTGGTTTTCACCATCTGTTTCTTCAACTGCATAAACAAGGAGAAATGACTGGTTTGGAATGCGAAGTTTTTAAAAACCAGATGACCACAGGCATCCTCTAAATGAGAAAGAGAGAGCAAGTTGGGGTTCTGTGACATTTGTCAGGAAGTGGAATGGTAAACAGAGAAGCCTGACTGGGCTTTGCCAGGGAAGGACCACAAAGGCAAGGAGTGGCTTTGTCCCTGCCCCTTCCTAAGGGTCGTGCCCTGCCTGCATCCCCTCTAACACCAAACTCAGATACTAGCATGGCTCCCTCGACCTCACTGCCCTCCCCCTGCAGAATTAAAGATGAACAGCTCAAGTGGCTTTAGTTCTCTGCTAACATTCCTAAGTTGGCAGCTTTGTACAGAACCCACTCTTAGAAACTTCCAGTTTGAACAAAAGCTGGGTTGTGAACAGATTCTATTATGAAGAGAGAAAGAGCTATAAATAAAGACACGGGCAAAAGAGACAAGATCTTCATCTCTCTCCTGCACAATAGCAAGTGCAAAAACAATCATACAAGGGCATTAGGAACACAGTGTGTTTGGCTTTAGCAATAGGCTTCCTGCTTTCTAAAGGAATATTTGCTATGCGCAGGACAGTTGCCACTCCGTGAAATGGTTCTGACGCTCCATGCCAACAAACTTAAAGCGCTATGTTCCTTTGCTAAACCCAAGACAGCTAAGAGACTGGATGGAAATGTTAGCTGCATACTAATCTATGTCTTTTCCTTTCAGTGCAAGAAATAATCAGTTGTGAGCATCTGAACAGGGAGATTTTGGAGCCCCTGGGGGATGGGCCTTGGCATACTTGGCTGTGTTCTACTTAGTTCAGCAGAAGAGGGACATGGAACATTTTTCACATAGTTTTGTAGGCAGCCTGACGCCAGTGTTTTCACATTAGAGGAAGAATAAAAGATGAAAGCCTCCTAGGAACAGCAGCTCTTCCTACTCTTCACTGTCTCTTCCTGAAGACCTTGTAGGCAGAGTGGATATGGACAGTATTAATGACTGGGGGTGGAAGTTAGGCAAAAACAAGACTGTGATCATTTATAAGCCCCAGGAAGATTAAATATATTTCACAATGGATTAACTTGAAATACTGTCTCTAACCACGCTTGGGATTAGCAGTGCAGTATGGAGCTATGACACTAGGAGCCACACTATGCTGCACAGCATGAGGACCTGAGTTCAGATCCCCAACACACACGTAAAAGCTGGGTGTGGTGGGGGACCGGGACAGGTGATCCCAGGGACTCACTGGTCAACCAGTCTAGTCAATTGGTTATCTCTAGATTCAGTGAAGATACCCTGTCTAAAAAAAATAAGGTGGAGAGAGATAGAGGAAGATAACAAAGTCCACCACTGACCCCCACATGTCCATGTACAGGAGAATGCATCCACATATACACATGCATACACCACACACAAAGGGAGGGAGGGGAAAGGGAAAGAAAAGAAAGAAAAAGAAAGAAAGAAAGAAAGAAAGAAAGAAAGAAAGAAAGAAAGAAAGAAGAGAGGGAGGGAGGGAGGGAGGGGAAGTAAGTTAGTTTTAGAAAGGAAGGATGGAAGTTAGTTTGAGAGAAAGAGAAGAAAGGAAAGAGGAAAAGAAAGGGGTGAGAGGAGGGGAGGGGAGGGGAAGGAAGATGCTAGAGTCTGTGGAGAGTGTACTGGACTTCTGACGTCCCCTGGATGTAGAAGCTGTTGGGGATGTTTGCCCTCCTGATGGAAATGGAGCGATGATTAGAGATCAGAGGTCAGGACACCCCAGGGTTGAGGTCCTGGGGACTTCCCGACCAGTGCAGTTTACCTCTACTTCTTGACGCATCACCAACAGCAAATCAAAACTTTTTAGAAAATAACTGCATCTGCATTGAACATGTAGACTTCTTAGTGTCATCCCCCTAAACAGTACAGTATAACATCTATTGGCATGAATTTACAATGCATTGTACACTACAAAGTAATCTGGAGATGATTTTAAGTATACCAGATGGTGTGTAGGGGTTACATACAAACACTACAAGATTTTATATAAGGGGCTTAAGCATCCATGGATCTTGGAACCAATCTCCTATAAATACTGAGAGACAACTATGTCTCCTTTGTTGCATAAATTAGATTGAAAGCTCCCAGAAAGTTATAAAGATGGACTATTCAGCAATGGCTTTGTAAAAGTACTCTGGTGACCCATGGAATTTAGTTATACACAATAATGATGAAGAGGCATACTAGGGGAGGTATGAAGGGAATTTTAAGTGGCCAAACTATTTGAATTATGTACTTCATAAAAGCTTCTGAGCCTTTAAAAAAATTAGTATTCTGCAGTTTGGCCACTCCAAAAGGCTCATCTAAGACTTTCATAATTTAAACGTCTCCCTAAATATAGGGAATCGAGACTCTATTGAACTTTGATAGAGTTTTGCATGTGGAAAGACGATAAAGCTATTTCAGGGTCTTGCTTTGTATTGGTTTCCAATAGGAGTGTAAAAGATCGCTCACCTCGTGTCTTCTTGTGTCTTTCCCTTTCTGTCTTCCGTCTTTCCCTCTTTCCTTCTTTCCTTCCCTTTCCTGCAACTCTCCTCCCTTCCTCCTTTCTTTCCTTTTTATGGGGGACTGATGAAGGATGTGTGCCTGATTAGGAAGTGAGAATGTTTACCGAGGACTGGGGGCTGGCATTTTATATCTCTTGTATTCTTGCCCACAGGTGATCACCCCGGTGAGGACAGGCCATGGCTACGTGTATGAGTACCCATCCAGATACCAAAAGGATGTCTACGATGTCCCTCCTTCCCACACCACTCAAGGGGTAGGCACCTGCAACATCACCAGGGGAGCTGGCTCTGGATGTAGCATGCTTTCGGGGTGGTACAGGAGAGAAGGTTCACAAATCATGACTGTGTCACATGGAGCTTTGTCCAAGTTGCCGGCCTAGGGACCATTTTAGCCAATGTTATTTAAGTTGTATTTTCTGGGCTTGCCTTATCAGAAAGCTGAGTCTTTCATCTTAGAAACCTCTTGTTTTATTGAGTCATCATTTTATCTCAGGAAATATGAAATTTAAATGAATTTAAAGTACAGAGTAGATATTTCCTAAGATCATTTTCATACTCAATCTAAATTAAAGAATATAACATTTATAAAGAAAAAGTCCATCAACCTTTTATGGCAAGGGATGCTGCTAAAGGTCTGTATATCACCTGGTAAATAAATCCATAATAAAACAGTAGCATAACAAGTGATTACTATATGAGATTTCCATCTGGGTAACTCAAGTGTTTCTCTCCAGGTATATGACATCCCTCCTTCATCAGTGAAAGGTCCTGTGTTTTCAGTTCCAGTGGGAGACATAAAACCTCAAGGGGTGTATGACATCCCTCCTGCTAAAGGGGTAAGTGAGTTAATAAAGTGCAACCGAAGAGGGTGTGTGTGTGTGTGTGTGTGTGTGTGTGTGTGTGTGCGCGTGCGTGTGTTCACTGAGATAAAAAGAACAGCATAGTTCAGAAGGGGAAAACTGTCTTGGTGAGGGAAGGAGAGAGGAAAGAAAGGGAGGAGGAAGCAAGGGAGAGAAGACAGTAATTATAGCTACTCCTAGGAAGTCCAAATCTAGAGGGGCCCCTACAGTATGTGAAGTGAGTAATGAGAGTCAGTTGGAAGGGAAGATAATTAGTTCTGTTTGGCAAGGTCTGAATCTCCTGTTTCTGCTGCCTCCTTGGTCTATACAGAAGAGGTAGCTCATATGATTTTTCCGTTACCCTCTGGGAGTTCCCTGCACTGCACTTAGCTTTGATGTACAGGGAACTGCCTCCGAATGCTAGGGAGACTTAGACAGCTTCATACAAATGGTCTGATGACCAAGAAGACTCAAGTCCCTTAGCCCAGTGTGTCATATCATCTGTCTCTCAACACGGATCAACCTGGGAAGGAGAGCTAGGGAGTGCTTGGAAACATGAGACTGGGAAACATGACCCAGGCGGGGCAACTCAGCCAAGAGGGCTCCACACCCAAGTCAGCACCTAGAGTATGATGATGGGTCCATGTGTGTGAGGATGAGGCCACATATTCTCTAAAGAGAAGCACCAGAGAGGCCAGTGAGTGAGTTGGGGGAGGAGGAAGGAAACAGATCCAGCAAACAGGCCTGAGAGCTCTGGACCACACCTGCAACTGTTCAGTTTCTGCCTGGTCCCAAAAGTCAACTGAACAAATAAGAGGTTTGCTCTTTACTTCCTTTTTAGGTCTATACCGTTCCACCATCGTCTTGCCGAGATGAAGCAGGACTTAGAGAAAAAGAATATGATTTTCCTCCTCCAATGAAACAAGCTGGAAGGCCGGACATCAGACCGGAGGGAGTTTATGACATCCCCCCAACCAGCACCAAGCCGTCGGGGAAGGACCTTCACATCAAATACTCCTGTGATGCTGCAGCAGCTCTGGAACGAGTGGCACGAAGGCACCAGAACCTTTCTCTGCATCATTCTCCCCCTCAGCTGGGACAGTCTGGGGGCACGCAGAGTGATGCCTACGATGTCCCCCGAGGAGCTCAGTTTCAGGAGTCGGCAGCAGAAACCAGTGAAAAGGCAAACCCAGAAGAAAGAGAAGGTGTTTACGATGTCCCTTTGCTCAACGCAGCAGATGCCAAAGGCTCTCGGGATGTGGTAGATGGGATCAACAGACTGTCTTTCTCCAGTACGGGCAGTACCAGGAGTAACATGTCCACATCATCCACCTCCTCAAAGGAATCTTCTTTGTCAGTCTCCCCGTCTCAGGACAAAAGACTCCTACTGGACCCAGACACGGCCATTGAGAAGCTCCATCTGCTCCAGCAGGCCCTGGAGATGGGCATCTGCAGCCTCATGGCACTGGTCACCACAGACTGGCGGTGTTACGGATACATGGAAAGACACATCAATGAGATCCGCACCGCAGTGGACAAGGTGGAGCTGTTTTTGCGAGAATACCTCCATTTTGCTAAGGGAGCTTTAGCCAATGCCTCCTGCCTCCCAGAACTGGTCCTCCACAACAAAATGAAGCGGGAACTCCAAAGAGTAGAAGATTCCCACCAGATTCTAAGCCAAATTAGCCATGACTTGAATGAATGCAGCTGGTCCCTGAATATCCTAGCCATCAATAAGCCCCAGAACAAATGTGATGATTTGGACCGGTTTGTAATGGTGGCGAAGACAGTGCCTGATGACGCCAAGCAGCTGACCACCACCATCAAGACCAATGCAGAGGCCCTCTTTCAAGCAGGTCCTGGTGGCTCCCATCTGAAAAATGGGCCTGACAGCATCATGAACTCAAGCGAGTATCCACATACCGGCTCCCAGATGCAGCCATTGAACTCTGGTGATTACAAGGCTCAGGCCCACAACAAGCCATTGCCTCCCACCCTGGGCAAGGACCAGCCCCCAGACTGCAGTAGCAGCGATGGCTCTGAAAGGAGTTGGATGGATGACTATGATTATGTCCACCTACAGGTAAGGAAACCAGACCAGCCACATTCACATTTGAGGAACTCAGGACTAATGTCTGTAAGGCTGTTAGGTTAGACAGCTAAAGGGTGGATCATGACAAATGCTGATCCAAGTGGTGTGAAAACTTCAGGTGAGGTTGTTCACTTAGAGGAAGACCTGAGTCCTTGGCTCTGACAGTAATTGTGCAATTAATTTATTTAACCCCTCGTGGCTTAATTTCATGTTCAGAATGAATAACCTACAGGGTCGAGTTAAATCTCATTGATACACTCCAGGCAAGCTAGAGTAGACTCACCATGTGGGATAGTGGTCTACTGGTCATCTACCAACTCTGCCTCTACTTGTGTTTTATGGTAAAATCCCATAGACAAGTTTACCATAGAAAGTTATTGAAAGAAATCTACATAGAGAATCTCTAAGGTACACAATGCCTGCAGAATGTGTGTGTGCGTGTGTGTGTGTGTGTGTTTGTGTGTGTGTGTGTATGTGTGTGTTTGTGTGTGTTTAATTACTTACAAAGACCTCCTAGGTGCATCTCAGATTTGGAGGAACTTTGAGCAGCTGCCAGTGGCCAAGAGCTTGACCTACATCTGGGAAACTAGGCCAACAGTCTACTTCCTACAAATTTCTACCTGTACAAAGTTGACCTGAGATCCTGAGACCTTCACCCTCCATGCTGAAGGATTCAAACACTTATCATAATCCATTATTTAGAATTTGGCTTAATATCTTAACTTCTATTCTTTTTCATTTAACTGAGAGCCATAAATTTTACTGAAATTCATTAAAATACCAAAAGCTCCTAAGTGCAAGAGAGTAGGCAGGGTCAACTGAGCCACATCTAGTGCTGAGGAAGGATCTAGGTTAGATGAAGGCATTTGACACTGGGCTTCCAAGGCCTTGTACTGGGGAATACTAACTGGGAGCAGAGAGATGCAGGTGATTCAAAGAAATTGGAAGGGAAATATTTTTGTCCTACATTAGAAATCTATGGGTTCACATACAATCTGTTTAAAAAGGAATCATTAAGGGTCTGGAGAGATGGGTAAGAGCACTTGTTGCCCTTGCAGATGACCCAGGTTCAGTTCCCAGCACCTACATTGGGTGGTTCACAAACACCTGGAACTCTAGTTCCAGGGGATCTGACATCCTCTTGGGCCTCAGCAGGCTCTGCATATACATGGTGCACATACAGACAAAGAGACACAGGTACATAAGTAAAAATAAATAAGACCAAAAGAGAAGCATGAAAAATAGTGCTTCTTAAGGAGGTGTGAAGAGGGTAATGAGAAGTGCTCTGAAAATGGCCAGCTAGGGCAGTGAACACGGCACCCATGTGGAAACAGACTTCAGTTTTTGGCCTCAGCCTTCACGGTAATTCTGGAAGACCCTGTCTAGGATTCATAGTGCCTAACTGGACATGAAGGAAGTGGGCAGTGGTTAATGAGCCTCTGGGCACATCTTTCAATGAAGCTGTTCACATAAATGACTCACAGTGGTGAGGTAACGTATTCTTTATGTTGAAAACAACAGGGCAAGGAGGAGTTTGAGAGACAACAGAAGGAGCTGTTGGAAAAAGAGAATATCATTAAACAGAGCAAAATGCAGCTGGAGCATCATCAGGTGAGTTCAGTCAGAACAGTGCCACTTTGGTGGTGAAAAGCGTTCTGCTTAGTAGGGAATGGATAACTTCAAAAGATTTGGGTCCTGCCAGCACACCGGCATGAACAAGTCCCAGGAGTATAATAAGACATAAGAACAAAGAGAGGGTTTATGGCCTTGCAAATACAGCTGGGAATACCTGGAGTACATCCAAATGACAGGGGTTTTTCAGGCTACGCCTGTTAATATGTAACATATTAGGACTATTTGGGTTACAGCTTTTAGTCTCAAGACACAAGACCTAGTCAGGCTGTCCTAAGCAAACTGGTTTCATATTTATATCCCCAAGGTAAGGGGATTCAGGAGCGATGATGTTTTAGCCAAAACTAACAGGAACAAGGACTATCCGATCTCTCTCTTTATTTTCCCTTTGTGTCTCTCACCGTATCTGCTTCTTTGTCCCTGGCTTTCTGACATTTCCTTTGGTCACCTCCTCATTCTGTTCCCCTCTAACTTTACAGGACCCATAAATGGTCTCTTAAAGCTCTTTCTATAGGAAGCTTTTTGTTTTGTTATGTTTTGAGATAGGGTCTCATCATATGGTCTAGGACAGCCTCAAACTTGGTATTTTCCTCCCTCAACCTCCAGAGTGCTGGCATTACAGGTGTATGCCATTGTGCCCAGCTCCAAAGCTGTCTCTATAAATGACATTTTGTCTAGGATCTCTCATCAGCTAATGGTCAACTCCCTTCCATCACTGTCAAATTCTCTCTCATCAACTCTGTATCTCTACCTGTCTTGTATGGTCCAGTCTAAGGATTAGAAGGTAGAGCCCAATGTTTTCAGAATATATCCAAGCCCATTTACCATGGGTTCTGAGTAGGTCATGTTCACTCAAAGGTTCAGTGTAAGAGCAGGTTAGAATAGATGTTGCTAGCACAAGGAAATGGAAATAAAGAGGAATGGGCTAAAGATTTCCATACCTTGAAGATGACATGAAATAGCATGTCACAACAGGAAGTACTATGCTGTCATGAGGAAAACTGAGTTCCAGCCCTTGCTTCTGGCTAAGGCAAGTCATGTAACTGACCTGAACTTTATTTACTTCTCTATAAAATGGGAAAGGACTGCCCTCCATGGGCATATTTGTGAAAGTCTAAGTCGTTTGAAATCAAATTCATTATTATCAAAATGCCTTGGAACACCACCCTGCATCTGCTTAGGCTTGCATTGGCAGTTGGCCCTGTAAGACAGTGGGATTTAGGGAACCTGCAGACACCAGAGCAGTTCCTGAGAAGCAAGCTGATTCCCTGGAAGAGCTGCTGTGTGCGTCTCAGTGGAGGAGTTGGAGGAGGTTATCCCTACTCTGACTCAGCTCTGAATCAGGGTGAGAACAGACTGAGTCCTCAACTCAAGAGTCTTTGTAAAACAGCTAGAAATTAGTATCAATGCAATTTTAAGTAACAGTCCAGTTAGGGATGATAAAAATAGAAACAAGGAAGCTAACACTCAGACCGGCGAGATGGCTCACCGGGTAAGGGTGTCTGCTGCCAAGCCTGATGACCTGAATTTGATCCCCAGAAGACACATTGTGGAAGGAGAGAATCAACTCCCACAGGTTGTCCTCTGGCCTGCCCACACAAAAATGAATAATGTTTTTTTTAATATAAAGACAGAAAGTTAATATTCATGACTATACAATATGATGAATTAACACTCAAATTTTCTTGTGTTCTCTCCCTAAGTATGTGTGTATTGATATGCATGAGTCTTCCCTGTAGTGAAGAACCACGACATATCTGTACATCTTAAAAAGAGTTGGAGAAATAAAGAAGGATCAAGAATTGTCAGTCTTAGAGAGAAAGGCCTTCCCCAAGAAGTAGCAAACTGTTGGTGATTTATTTGACAAAAAGGTCACTACATTCAGCTTCTCCTTGCCACCACTCAATATTTAATAAACATTTACATAGAGCCTATGATATACCAAACAGTCTTTAAAGCAGTTTGTGGATAATAATTCATTTAACCCTCATAATGGTATAGAATGCAAGCCTGGGGTTCAAATTCTGTGATGTCTTCCAGTCAGAAGGTAGAAAAGACCAATGATGTAACCACAGACAGTCTGAGCTCGTTTCTTTGGGGATTATCTCCCGGGCACCTCAGCTTAGTTTAGGAAGGAAGATAACTTGGCCAAGGTCTGGCACTGTTCCACCTGGAACTCCTTAGGGATGATGCTGGTATCTTCTAACGTCACTCACAGGTTTCTTTTCCAGTACAACACATTGCTTTGCCATTAATGAAATCTACTTTCCTCTCTTCCAGCTGAGTCAGTTCCAGCTGTTAGAACAAGAAATCACCAAGCCTGTGGAGAATGACATCTCCAAATGGAAGCCCTCTCAGAGTCTCCCAACCACAAATAACAGCGTAGGTGCCCAGGATAGGCAACTACTTTGCTTCTACTACGACCAGTGTGAGACGCACTTCATTTCCCTCCTAAATGCCATTGACGCACTCTTCAGCTGCGTCAGCTCAGCCCAGCCCCCTCGGATCTTTGTGGCACACAGCAAATTTGTCATTCTCAGTGCTCACAAACTGGTGTTCATTGGAGACACTCTGACAAGGCAGGTGGCTGCCCAGGACATTCGCAATAAAGTCAGGAACTCCAGCAACCAGCTCTGTGAACAGCTCAAGACAATAGTGATGGCGACCAAGATGGCCGCCCTCCACTACCCCAGCACCACTGCCCTGCAGGAGATGGTACACCAGGTAACAGATCTGTCCAGAAACGCTCAGCTGTTCAAGCGTTCTTTGCTGGAGATGGCAACCTTCTGAGAAGAAAAGGAGTTGGACAGGACCAAGTGAATTACTAAGGAAAACTGGAAATACTATCTGGTTTTTGTAAATGTTATCTATTTTTGTAGATGTTTATATGAAAATGAAATATTTTAACATTTTGTGAGTTAGACAATTTTCGTGAATTCAGGGAGCTGAAGAGGGAAATCGTTTTTTCCCTGTGTGGTTCTTATGTATACATAAAGTATCTAAAACATAAGCTGTATAGAAATTTGTCCACATTTGTGAATGCCGCTGTATTCATGTTTGTTTGTAGATGTTTGTCTGATACATTCCATTAAAAACATGAATTAAGAAGCACCTTAGTAAACACCTCCTAATGCTGCATTTTTTTAGTTTTTGTAGAAAGTGTATCAGCTGGTTGTAATATTGCTCTGCATGTAATAGTGATGATTCTGAGCCTAGCACACCCAAATCTGGTAAGTATAGTATATTTTCAAGTGTTCACCTCCCACATAACAAGTCATGATATGATTTATTCTTCTCTGAATCGTCTTTCAAACTGGACTGTCTTTAACACATTATGGCAAAATGCCCTACTTCTGGTTGCAAAGTCGAAAGGCACAGCAAATTTCTAAAAGTATATATCAACTAAAGGTTAGGTGCTGGAGAGATGGAAGATGCCTGTGCTGTATTAAGAGGCCTTGTCTACATTGTGATTGGGCTGTTTCAACACTGACAGGAAGCTACAATAAAGTGAACACTTGTTTGCCTGGAGCTATCCAGTCTCATTTGTGAGTGATTCAGCCATCACGTTTTCCAAAGGATATTTTTAGAGTTGTAAAATAAATAACATTTTCAGCTGGAATTCACTGAAAACGTATCAGACTGATTGTAAACAAAAATAAGGGATGTTTCCAACTGCCAATAGTTAAAGAAAGGCTTCTCTGGGGGACTTTTACCCTGATTATCTGAAGGAAACTGGCCAGCTCCTTGGTCACATGCTTGGTCAGTCCTACATCCTTCTTAAAACCTACATAGGCAGACTCAACACTCAAAACAGCTGCAGAGTCCATCTGATCTTTAGAATCCCCTGTGCCCACTGATCTTGAGGATAAGCCACATCTCCCTGTGACAGCTAGTCACAGTATCTATCCTGCAGTCTGTCTCCCTCACACGTGCTATGTGGACACATCACAATAAGCACAGCCACCAGATTGATCACAAGCAGATAAATTACCTCCTGTCTGGTGGGTAAAGGTATTCCTTTATTACCAGGTCAAGAAGTATGTTTCCTGTATGTAGTCTTTCAGTCTTTCAGGCCATGGAAATGATTGCATTCCAGCCTATCTGGAAACATCTTTTTATTTGTAATAGATGTCTTGATTGAATTAACTTTACTGTTTTAAGCAACCAAATCACTAAGACAGGGAAGGGTTTAAGAAGAATGTATGTGTGATTTTTGAAAACGGGTGGAAGTTATGACAGATGGTGCTTTTCAAAACTGCTATTGTAATTCTCAAAGTTTTGCACTTCCAAAAAAGATGAACAGTTGTCCTGTTGGATAGGAAGTCAATGTGTGGAGGAAGGGTGTATGAAGCATCAGTAACACTTGAAGAAGTCGAAGAAATCAAGAAGGATGTGCTTCTGGATCTCACTGGATGACATGTATGTGCTGGGCAATGATGAGTTGTCCTAACCTAAGTGATGACACTGTACATTGTCAAAACCAAACTGTTCAATTTGTATTGCTCTTTGCCATCTTGTACATACAGGCTATTTTAAAGTCATTAAATTTTTAGAACTCTGTTTTCATAACCACTGGATCTTCTTTTTCATACATCCGTCTTTTCCACAAAATTAAATATCAGCTAATCTAGGCATTTCTAAAATAGAAAGTTAAACTATGATTTTACTTATGCTATGAATCCAATTTTTTTTAAATGTGTGTGTGTGTGTGTGTCTGTGTCTGTGTCTGTGTGTGTACACAGGCACATGTGTATGCACTCGCTCATGCATGCCTAAAAGTACTTTTGCATTTGAAGAATATTCTGGAACATGTAGATATCACCAAATTAAAATATCTGAAATTAGCTTCTATTCACCAGAGAGTATAAACATTTGATGTATGTACGATTTTTGTTTCTGTACATTTGAGCCTCATATAGATTTAAAATTAGAGAACACTGTTTTATTCATTCTGGAAAACATATAAAGAAATAGTTCAAAGCAAATTCTATTTGAAGAAAACCAGAGATTCTTAGAAATATAAAATTATTACTTTCAATTCTTGACCTACCCTTTTGTTCACATAATCCACTGAGATGTAGAAATTATTTGGACATACCGTGTATATTAGTTACTTTTCTTGTGACTGTGACAAAAATGACAGAAACAGGAGAGGTTTATTTTGGCTCACAGTTCAGAGAGTACAGTCTGTCATCTTGGGGAAGGTCTGGCAGCTAGAGTGGCCTGGCACTTGCAGTGTGACTTGCTCACATCTTGTTGCAGACAGAGCTGAGGCTCCCAAGTGGGATTAGTTTAATACCCACAAGGCCCATGCTCAGTCTAGGCTCTTTGTCTTAAAGTCTCCACAGCCTACCAAAACAGTGCTATTATTTAAGGATCAAGTATTTGAACAAATGTACTGTGGGCAACATTTCAGATTTTAACCATAACACCTGCATCATTTTGTCTACACATAAAAGCATTAGTTGATTTTTGACAAAAATAAGATGTTTCAATAAAAGGATGGGATGTCTTTTGAAAAAAGAAAGATGTTAAAACAACTAAATCTCTATGGGGAAAATAAGTATTTACCTGATATCTTAAACAAATTAATTTACATGGATCATAGGCCTAACTGTAAAACTCTAAACCTTCTAGGAAAACAATGTAGGAGAAAGTCTTTATGATCTTAAGCAGACAAAGATTTCATAAATAGTAAAATAAATAAATAAATAAATAAATAACAAAATTTGGGTCTCATCAAACTTAAAACCTTTCTAAAGAGACCATTAAGAAAACAAAATTTATTCTGAACAGGACATGATCACTGGGCTGATGGATTCACTCACTCAACTACAGTTACCTGCACAAGTCCTGTAAAGATCAAGTCAATAATATAAGTCACCATTTCAACAGGCAGCCTGGGGTTGTGGGAGAAAGAAGCTGGGAATGGATATGGCCAAAATACACTGTTTCCATGTATACAACTGTCAAAGAATAAAAAAGAAAATATTCCATTTTAAAAGAAAGAAAGAAAAATTCAGGCTGGCAAGACAGTTCAGCAGGTAAAAGTGCTCCCCACACAAGCCTGATAGCCTGAATCTGATTGCTGGAACCCATGGTGGAAGGAGAGAACTGACTCTGAGAGCTGTCATCTGGTCTCCACACACGCACTTACACTCTTCATGCATACATGCACATACATATATGCACACACAAAGATACATCATATACAATAATAATAACTTGAATTTAAATTTTAAATAGGAAACAAAATTCAAGCCTCACTGTAGTAGAATGCTTACACCACATGTATCATGATGCAGAGGGTTAGCTTCAGAGCTGTAGCCCCGGCTGTCCTGGAGCTCACTATGTAGACCAGGCTGGCCTTGAACTCACAGAGATCCACCTGCTCCTGCCTCCCAAGTGCTGGGATTAAAGGCATGCACCACCACAACTGGCCGATAACTAATCTTTTTATTGATTTTTATTTTTCATTTTGTATGTATGAGTGTATTTCCTACATGCATGTAAGTGCACCTGTGTCACGCAATGCCCACAGAAGCCAGAAGAGTGTGTTGGATCCCCTGCAATTGGAGTTATGGATGGTTGTTAGCCACCACGTGAGTGTAAGGAACCAAACCCGGGTCCTCTGCAAGGACAGTCAGTGCTCTTAACTGCTGAGCCATCTCTCCAGTTCCATAGAACTAATCTTTTTAACCAGGCAAAAATGCCAAGCAGAATCTTCACAAATGAAAACATAAATGGATAATAAGTAAATGAGCTAGAAACCAGACCAAATGTACTGATTAAAAAGAGAAACCAGAGCAAGTATTTGTGTGAAGGGGAGAAAATGTAGCTCTCATTCTATGTTGTAAGACTAGCATCAGGCACATTCAGATCAGTATGGACGTAGATGAGGGAGCCCACAAATGCTTTGGAAAGCAGAGTGTCAATTTGGACTAGTTAAAGCTTTGCCTGCCAGGTGATCTAGTAACTCTTCTCCTAGATATATACCCAAGAGAAATAATATGCACCATATACTTACATAACAGTATTTATTACAGCTGTGATGTAATAACAAAAGCTAGCAACAATCAGAGGGTCCCTCTGTGAAAGTAAAAAGCCATTCCTATAACCAACAAAATGGACTAATACCTACACGTACAAAGGAATTTAAAAAACAGTTGCACATTAGATACAATGCACATCCTTTCAAAGAAGAAAAAAGAGAGAAAGCAAGAGAGAGCCCCGTGAAACAAAGGAGGTAATGAAGGCTGAAGACTGAAAGGGTAAAGGATACAGATAGGAAAAGGAGATGGCAGGGAAGAAACAGCGGGAGAGAGAGGAAGAGACGATTCAAGACGACAAGAGGCAAAAAGACACATGACACAGAGCACTTAGGAAGTGATCAAAGAAATGACAGGCTACCTGCAGACCTTGGCTGACTCAGTCTTGGCAGACAGTGAATAAAGGAGATGAGATTAGTTGCATGATTCATCAGTTACCATTAAATGAAAGCAAGTCCATGTCCTTTATACTTTGGTATCCCAAAGGAATTCTCCCAAGGTCCGCATAACAGATGACTGTTACTCAATGAATGAAGCTATGCCATTTCTGCAGTAAATATAGTGAGACCCATAGGCATCTCCTAGTAGCATACACATGGTGATGCTTATGTGCCGCAAGCCTTTTTCGACAGTTAAGCACTAAAAAATCTATAGTGTGTGTTTCAAGGTCTACTTCCCCTTCATTCCCCATTAGAATATATTCTTCTGTGAATTCTTCAAGACACTTGATGCTTCCTGAGTATCTCCAACTTTTTCTTTTCTCTTACACTGTCATTCCTCTTAACCTCTGACACTAAAAATACAGGACAGCAAAGGCAGAGGGCAGATCTTACACACCTGCTCAGTGGTATGCTTTTGGACAAACTTCATTAGTCTTTTCTCCAAGCTTGTTTATTAATAATTTAACTTCAACCATTCATTTTCATTCATTTGTTCTGTAAATATTTATTAAGCATCTGCCAGTACCTAGTACTGAGGGGTATAACACTTTCCTTGATTTTACAGAACCTATCATATCATTTGACAAATTAAAATATATATATATATATATATATGACTTGTAATTCTATGGCATGCTATGAAGTAAGGATGCATAGCAATGTCAGAAGGGATATGGGAATATCCTAACCTATTGTCAGGGGCATGAATGGCTTCTTTCAAGAAAAGATATTCAATCTGAGATCTGATGAATGAACACTTTATTTAGATCAAAAAAAGAAAAAGAAGCCGGGCTTGGTGGCGTGCACTTTTAATCCCAGCACTCCAGAGGCAGAGGCAGGTGGATCTCTTGTCTCAAAAAGAGCAAAAAATGAGAAAAAGACACTGGGAGGAGATCAGAGAATGGGGACAAAAGACCCTCAGGACACCCAGATCCCAGCAAGTTCCATGACCTGGAGGTGCCAGTGGACGTGGAGCTCTAAAGCAAAGGGGACACAGTGAAAGACAAGACGAAAACATGGCAGGTGCCGTGATGTGTGCTGCACAGCTGTGGATTGAAACTTTCCCTAGTGTAGGGTACTATGTAAGCTTGAAAAATAAGTCACGAGACTCAAGAGGTCCCCAGCTCCAAAGACATAAAAGCAAAAAATAATTGCTAGTGGAATAAACAATTGTGGTGGGGCTAGAAGATTCTTTGGTGGCACTTACTGAAGGTTGTGCATGGAGCTTCAAGAATGCAGATTTCCTGAGGCATCACCCATACTGAACAGGGTTTTAGTGATTCACCTTTCTGAGTCCCTTACATTACCATAAATAACTTCTCACCCATACTCCCTAAGTAAGCCCAATAAATTCATTCATTCACCAATCTAAACTCAGGTGGGATTGTTTCCTTGAGCTATCATCTGGGGTTTCTCTTCTGGGGTGAACAGATACTTGTTTACATCTCCCTGAGATAACTCATGCCACGCAATCGGTGCCCAAACAGGAACTGACAGAAAAATGAGTCTGAGAGGATAACGGCATGACACTGCTACGGATGATAAGCCTTGCCCTCGATCCTGACCCATCTGAGGATGGAACAGCTGCAGTTGCCAATCCAAATAGTAGTGAGACTGAGCCACTTGAGGTTGTGTGTCCTTGGGTGGAATCCCACAGTGGCCATCTTATTCAGTGTGGTGTTGGGTAATATGTCTCCTTGATGAATTGGGCATGCCATGCAAAATCACAGATGTCCCCCAAAGAATAGATTGCAGTCTCTAAAAGGAGCACGTATGGAATGCAATTGTAAGCAGGTTGTGGCAGCAACTGAATGCTTCACCATGGGCACTAAAACAAGTAACGGAGACTGAGCTGTCTGTCCAGAAAGAACTTTCCTGTGTAAGGGAAGAATAATTTCAATGGGAAAATACATATGGAGGCTGTCTTCTGCATCAATCTCTCATCTGGCAGGAAAAGTGGGCAAAGGGAGGCTGCGACGGAAGGGATAGTTTGCCATTTCTTGCAGCTGACAGAACGTACAGGAAGGAAAGCACACATTGGATCAGTGCTAAGAAGCCCTTCCAAGGATTCAAAAATTTG